TTGTATAGAGTCAGTCTTTTTGTACTGAGTCAGTCGAGTCTGTCTTATTGTATCGAGTCAGTCTGGTTGTGTCGGAGTCAGATGATTTCAAGGGTGTTACCTCGGACATCACTTGCTTGTTTTGTGTTTGTCTTTTATTTTTCTTTTGAGTCTATTTTTGCCATGGAGCCAGTTATGCCAGGAGACTATGAATGAAATAACAGTAATTTTCATGTTCTGTGTTTGCTTCAGCCTTGAGCCAGTTGTGCCAGAAAATTTGAATGAAACTGCATTGCATTTTCATCTACTTCTTCTGTGCCTTTAATTCATTGCATTGACCTAAGTTTTTCAAAACCTTTTGAACAATGTATTGAAAACAAAGAGGGAGGAATTCCTCGGGATTTGTAAAAATTTGAACAATTGAGAGAAAGAGAGGCGTGCTAAGCCCTTAATGAATGACATCATGTTTGTTAATGTGAGTACTGAGAAGGATCTTGGCTAGATCCAGATTGGTTCTACATTGTCTTCAGCGTGAGCGACTAGTCGCTTTCTTAAAAGATTTCAAAAAATATTTTGCGCGGTCCCGCGAAGACCTGTGTGGAATCGCTCTTGAGATTGTGTAGCATAGGATCGCTCTCAGCCTCGACCCCTTTTGCTTTCAAACCTTAAACCTTAATTCAGAATGTTCAACGGTCAACCACAAAGGAGGCCCGTGTGGCCAGATTTGAAGCAGCCCTCGAACAAGAGGCAAGAAAGTCAGATCAAGAAGGTCAGATGTCGTCAACAGAAGGTTGTGAAGTTAAGTTAGAAATACCCCTTGAACTAGGGGCACAAAAATGTCAGATGTGCTCGAAAAGTCAAAAATTGGGATGCTTCTCAAGCTAACGAAGATTGGCAAGAATGCCAAATCCCAGAAGGGAGGAAAGAAGAAAGTTTTGCTGAAGGACAACCGAGTTCCTATCCACAATACTAAGGGCAAGTTCAGCCCCCCCATTGGATGGACTCCTACATGATCGGCGAACAACCACCACTCTCCTAAATTCAAATGGCTTCGAGATCTTAAAACCATTTGACGTGGACTAAGCTACATTTTTACCCTTGAGAGGCTCGCTGGGCCGAAAACCCAGAGGGGCGACCCAAGCAAAAGTTAGAGCAAGAAAAGAAAGAAAAAAAAAGAAGAAAATGAAAAGAAAAGAAAAGTGCAAAGAAATAAGAAAAAAATAGAAAAGAAATGAAAAGAAAAGAAGAAAATAGAAAAGAAAAGAAAAGAAAAGAAAAACATAGCTCGCAAGGTTGAAAACCCGGAAGGGCGGCCTTGGCAAAAGTTAGAGCGCAAAAGGAGAGGTTAAATACCCGAGTGTGCCTTAACCCAGAACTACGTAAGGCTTGATTCCCATGTTTGGGATACGTAGGCAACTTCATTATGAAGTCTAGCCATAAACACTTCCAAATCGACTATGTCCACGTAATGGTTTTGATCATCTTTGTCTTCTCTCAATCCGAGAGTTCGGTTGTGATCTTCACTATAAAAACTGGTTACAGTGTGCTGCGATGCTATTCAAACAAGGGGCAACTTTCTGTTGCCGTACAGTGCGCTTTGGTGACATTCAGACTAGAGGTAACTTTCAGTTGCCACGCAGTGCCATTCAGACAAGGGGCAATTTTCCCTTGTTTTGGATCTGAGGTTGTGCATCTCAAGAGTAGGTTCCGTGCTTGTTGAGTAGTGGCTATTTGCAAAAATAGTTTTTGAGAATTTTTACTGAGGTTAACTAATTCTCTCCAAAATTATTCCAATTTTTCAAAACTGGACCACTTCTTGGACCCAAAAAAGGAAAATTTTCAGTGCTCATAACCTAACTTGCATGATTTTAAATCAGAAAGTTGAACAAATATGTTAATCTAACTCTCATATTGGTCAAACTTGTTTTAGTAGAAAGCCAAAACAAAAAATAGTCAAAATGATGAACTAGGGGCACAGTTGAGTTAGGTGTTCTATCTTTCCCCCATTGTTAACATACTTGCCAGAAATGGCACTCTACTTGCCAGAAAGGGCATTCTACCTGCCAGGAAAGGGGGGCACAGCTGAAGCTATCAGCAAATGGCCGAAAACTCTCTCATCCTCCAAGCAGCAAAGTATCAAGCTAAGTGCGAGGCACGAATCGGAATGGATCAAGATATTCCACTCCCTTATCTGGACAGATCTCATCACGTCCAAACTCCCCAGCAGTATCGTTAACCGATGTCAGCTACAGATTTGCTACACACCCAAATGTAGCGCGACTCTTTTGTGGAAAAATTCACTGTTGTGAGAAGAAGAAGAAGAATCTAGCAGAATGCTAGGGGCAAGAGCCTGCAACTTCCTATTTATCCATCAACCATCCAGGGGAGGGATAAAGAATGAGAGATTGAAGAATAGAGAGATGTGCGCTGAGAGAAAAAGTAAGAAAAGGGCTTTTTAAAGAAAAAAAAAAGGGAGCCTGAGGGCCGAGTGATGTGAGAATCACAAATAAGAAATGGTGGGAAACAATACGCGGAGAAACTGGCTCCTCGTGCACCGAGAGGTCTCTTGCCTTTGTAACACAGCTGAGTGTTGTGTTTGTGTGTTTTTGTTTGTCTCGATTCTTGTTGTTTGAGTGTCAATAGATGTGTTTAGGTTGTTTTACCTTGTTTTTCCTTTGTTGAGTTATGTTTAGGTTGTTCTACCTTTGTTTTCCGTTGTTTAGTCGTTTTGGCTGTATCGTTCTCTATATTTGTGCAAAACATGATTTGTTCTTTCATAAAACCACAGGGTTCAACCCAAGTCATGTGAGAACAGTAAAACCAGGACCTATCTGAAGTTATATAGGTTCCAGACTTCAAAGCAAAAGAAAAGAGGGAATGTTTGGAGCATCTTAGTGTGTTTCAACTCCAGCGAATTTCGAGATTGCATTCCAGGTGCACCTTCTCAGGCCTCGTCTTTCTCGGGAGTATGAGTATATCTCGACCCCAAGTGTAAGCTTGCTTCAAGTCAGAATGACAGTCCAAGCGGCACCTGTGGTTTTCATATGTACATGTTATCTCTTGCCAATATAAACAGGGTGTATTCTTTTCGAGCTAAGTGTGCTACAAAGCCCTCCGAGAGATAAATCGGAGACACCAGAATACATGTTTGATGCCCTTCTATTGCATAGAATGTGCACTTTCATATACGCTTCTCTTTCATACGTGCCACGCATCGTTATGATTCATGCAAAAAATATGCTTGCTTTCGATTCCGCATAGAATATGTTTTGCTTTCAATCATGCACAGAATATGCTTTCAATGTTGCATAGAATATACCTGTCTCATGCATAAAATATGCTTTCAATATTGCATAGAATATGCTTTCCATGTTGCATAGAAAATGCCCCCATACTTGCATAGAACATGCATTTCATCACACTTTTTTGTGCACCTTACTTGCATAGAAGATGCATTTTATTGCACTTCTGGTGTGCACCTTCCTCGCACCTTCTTGTGCACCTTGTGATTATGTTTCACTCGCACTGTTTAGTGCATTTCAAAATCACTCGCACTGTTTTGTGCAGTTTACACTCGCGCTCTCTTGCGCATCGCACTGTTTTATGCAGTTTATCACTCGCGCTTTCTTGCGCATCGCACTATTTTGTGCAGTTTATACTCGTGCTCTCTTGCGCATCGTACTGTTTTGTGCAGTTCACACTCGTGCTCTCTTGCGCATTACACTGTTTTGTGCAGTTTACGCTCGTGCTCTCTTGCGCATTGCACTATCTTGTGCATTTCATTACATGCTCTCAACTTGCATAGAAAGTGCTCGTATCCTTGGCTTAGAACTTGCTCGCGCTATCTTGCGCACCTCACCTGTACTTGTTAGTACAGTGCTCGCGCTATCTTGCGCACCTTGCTTGCATTTGTTAGTGCATTGCTCGCACTATCTTGCGCACCTTACTTGCATTTGTTGGAACTTGCTCGCGCTTTCTTGCACACTTCACTTACACTTGCACTTGTTAGTGCATTGCTCGCGCTTTCTTGCGCACCTTACCTGCACTTGTTAGTGCATTGCTCGCGCTTTCTTGCGCACTTTACCTGTACTTGTTAAAGCATTGCATTGCACTATTTTGTGCATTTAATCCACATCGCACTGTCTTCTGCATCTGTATAGCACTGTTTTGTGTATTCACTCTGCATCGCACTGTCTTGTGTACATTGTATTTTTTGTATCACTCGCACTGTCTTGTGCACTCACCTGGTCTAGGAGACCTTAAATCCTCTAAAGGTCCCGAACGACTTCCAGTGATCTGGTATAGCCACCTGCCTGTGTTAGTGATGAGTTCCTAGGAGACTAACTGAGACGGTAGAAACTAGAGTTCGAATGGCTCATGCCTAGAACGCAAAGTGTAGACACCCCATTTTGACCGGTCCTAAGACTTGGGCACTTTCTTTTGACCACCCGCTGATAAAAATTAGAATATGTCATTTTATGAATTTCTCAACCGAAAAATCAAATTGAAGTTTTAATCCCAAACCTCACCTATTTTGATCAAATTATTTTATATCACTAATATTTTATCAATTTGTAGTATTTTATAATTTTTATCTAATTTTATGTGTGTGTACACATTTTTAGGTGTTTTTTATATAAAATAATAAAAAAACAAACAAAAAAATGAAAAATGAAAAAGAAAATAAAGAAAAGAAAAAGAGAGGGTCAGATGAGGATAATGGGTTTTGGGATGGAAACGAATTTTGTTTTTGCTGGATTCAAAGGGGAACAGAGTGGATATTGTGATGATAAGTTTTGGGTGGAAAATAATTCGGTGAAGTGGGTTTGAAAAGTGATGGAGGAAATTGAAAAAAAAGGAGGGCAGGTGAGAGTGGGTGGAGAGGAGACACCTAACAAACACACTATCTCTCCCTCTTTAGAATAATTGAGGTCTGTGGGCACCAGGGGTGTGGATTTTTTATGATTGTTGGCATGGTGGGTGCTAAACAATTAAAAAATCTCTCTCTTTATATTTTCCAACTTGTTTGAAACAAAAGGGGGGGAGGACAACACATGCAGGCACTACCTCCCTCTCTCTCTGGGTCTCTCTGAGCTTTCTCCCAGGCACTACCTCCCCCTCTCTCTCAAAAATATTTTCTGACTAAGTTGCAGCTTCTTGATACAAGAAAATGGTGAAAGTAAAGCTGGACGTGGGCTGTAACCACTCCATCCAACTCTCTTTCTCTTTCTTCCATTCTCACACCAATTCTTCACACCATTCACACAACACACACAAGGCACAACACACAATGGCACACCACACATAGAGCAACACAACCCAGACACACATGTACACACGGCAGACCCATGCACACGGGCACACACCCAGCATAACCACCACACAGCACCATGCCCACACCGCACACACTGCCACTCTCTCCCCCACACACACGGCACATACAGCACAAACAACACCAACCCAGTAAACACACACACACAGCCCATATACTCAATAATCAACACAGCACACACACCCACTATGATCTCTCTCTCTCCGATCCCATGCACACACACTACTACACACACACGGCCACCTCTCTCTCTTCCACACACAAGACACACTGCTACACACCACACACGCATGCAGTCGATACACATTCACACACATGCAGACAGATTGATATAGATTCACACACCCAGCACACAGGGATAGGGGCTGAACACACACACACACAAGTTGGATCTCTCTCTTTCTCTCGCACGAAACACACCACCCATCACAGAGCAAAACACACACACGGACACACTCATACACACGGCACATGCATACACATGCACACTGCCACAGACATCACCGCTGCCATCACCACGCCGCAGTAGCAGCAACCACGGGAGGCACCACATCACAGCAGCAGCAGCCATGGGAGTCACTTCTCCATTCATACTTCCGGTGATAATTGTTGCACGTTGGACTCATTTCTAGCAACGGGCTGTTTACTGCCGTGTGTGCTGGCTGCTGGTGGGTTTTCAGAGGTCGCCAACATGTCCAACTGACGGTGTGACCCTGGTTTGGTAGGTGCATGGCGTGGGTGGGTGCATGGTGTCAAGGCTCAATGCGTGTATCTATTATTGTAGGTAATGGAGTGGTGTCTACACACGTATTTCAGATGTGTAATGATTTGAAAATTTGAATTAATGGTAAGCTGAGATAAGATTCTGTGTGGTGGGGTTCATGGTTACAATATAGATGTTTTAAGAAATGGGCCCATGGTTACATATGGACTATTTGTGTGTTTCCGGGTGTGTCTTAGGCCCACATTTTGTTTTAGTTTCATGGGCTGGATTGGAGTGAAGTCATGGATCTTTGCTGGTTGATTGAATGGCCGGGGGTTTAAAATGTTGGGCCCAGTTTTCAGTGGAGAAAAGAAGTGAAATGTGCCGGTGATGAAGCTCTTATTTTGTTTTTTTCTTTTGAGTGTTTGTGAGGATTTTATTTTATTCATCTCCCTTAGATCTGTAATATTCAAAGTATTGTAATAATTTCCCCACCCCGCTTCTTTCTATCCCATTCTTTACTCGCTTTCCCTAACTGTACATATGTATATATCTGACATGCCATGCATATCCATGCTTTTACATTCATGTCTCATGCATTAAGATTCGGCTACATTTACATGTGTGGATTTGATCAATTCTTCTGTGATTCTATGCGCTACCTCATGTTATTGAGATGATTCACATGCCATATTTTAGAAGCCGACTCTTTAGGGCATCTCATGAGTGAATTGCATTAGGATTCTGTATATAAGATCATGTATATTTTACTAACTTTGTTTTGTAGTTGTTCGAGGGACGTCGGTCAATTTGTGAGTTTTTATGCTTTAGCATCCCATTTGTGTGTGTTTTTCTTACTATGTGTTAGTATTCTACCATGAGGCTAGTTGCTTACTTGATATAAATGTATGAATGCCTGTGAATGAAGGCTTGTTGTTTGAATTGGAATAATTCAATAAATGTACGTTTTAAGCCCACTTTGCAGTGGCAAATTCACAAACTTTAAGCCCACTTTGTCAAGTGGCAAATTCAAACCCTTTTCGAAAAACAAACATGAAGTTGAATTGTGCCAATTTGAGCAAACTAGTCTATACTTGTATGCTTCACATAGTAAATTTTAGGATTTATTCAATAATCAGAACATGAACATATAAAGAAAATAAAAAGTCATATCATGGTTCAGTAGAGGCCGACCTTTTGATCGGGTGAGCGGGGGTGCTCATTATTGACATTCCCCTCTCATATCTAAGGTTCCGAGCCAAGCATCCTTGGTTACGACGAACAGTGGCCTTGGCACGAATCATGGGTTTCCTAATTTCCTAAAATATTAGGTGGTGACTCTGAAATCTGATGACGCGGTCCATTTTTGACAAAATTGTAATAAATCTACGTTTCACATTGCACTTGTGAGACTAGATCAAAGAGATCTCGGAAGTCCGAACTGTTTAACGCGTGCGGGTACCCGCCGGGCATGTTACAGTTTCTGGCGACTCTGCTGGGGATTTTATGAAACCTTGACTCGAACTCCATGATATGACCTTTATTTTCAATTATATGTTCATTGCATTGCATTCATTGGTGCACTTCAAGTCTTTATGTTGCCCAGATACTGGTGGGAGCACAGGTAAGATTTTTGTGACACTACACCTATTTTTACGATACTTTAGAGGCCTTGTGTTGTAACCTTTTGAGATTTGTCAAAAGGGTAGCTTTGATTGGGGTGTCTTTATTCGACTCGGCTATCTTTGATTGGCTCGTTCCCATTTGATTCAGTTGTTCTATTTCTCTTTCATGACGGGTTCAGTCACAAGATGAATTCATTGTACATCTCAAGGGTTGATTTCGTGTTGATCAAGTAGTGGTCATTTGCGAAAATAGATTTTGAGGACTTTTAATGAAGCTGACTAATTTTTCTCAAAAATTGTTCCATTTTTGCAAAACTTGGACCATTCTTTGGATTTGAAAAGGGAAAATTTTTAGTGCTCACAATTTAGCTTACATGATTTGAAACAGAAAAAGGAATAAGTATGCTAATCTAACTCTCATGTTGATCAAAACATTTTTACAAACAAAAAAAAAAAAAAAAAATCAAGAGACAAAAAAGGGTCAGGGCAATGAACTAGGGGCATAGTCGAGTTAGAGATTCTGTCTTCCCCATCACTCGAGTCAACTATTCAGTGTATATAAGTGTGTATTCATACCAGTCAAGGTATTCATACCAGTCAGTGTATATAAGTGTGTATTCATACCAGTCAGTGTATTCATACCAATCAGGGTATTCATACTAGTCAGTGTATATAAGTGTGTTCCTTTCATACCAGTCAATATATTTATACCAATCGGTGTATTTATACTAGTCAGTATATATAAGTGTGTTTGGATCGTTTTGTTTCGTTCTTCTTTCGTTAAGTCATTCTTTGATTCAGGTCAGTATAGAATCAATGTTCAATTCAGAGTTCAAAATTCAATCACTCTAAAATTCAATCAAACAAAAATGTTTTCAAGTTCAAAGTGATATGCCAGTCATGTCAGTGATGAGCAAAAAAGAAATTGATTTTATTGAAGTCAGAGGAGGACATCCCCAATTACAGAGACTCAAAAAAAAACAAAAAACAAAAAAAAAAAAAAAAGACCAAAAGAACAAAAAAAACAAAAAAAACAAAAAATAAAAATAAAAAAAAAACCAAAAAGAGAGAGAGTAGCATTTTCTCAGTTTTTCAGCAGCAGCTCGGCGGAGAAGATTACAACCGGCTTCATTTGCACACAGCTTCGTTGCCTGACTTTGCCATCAGCTGCCTCGCTTCATCTTTACTCCTTCGAAGTTTTTGAAGACTCTGCCTTGGCCTTGGCAGAGCTTCCAAAGGAGATTATTCCTCGCCGACCATCAAATTGGTTGTACGAAGAAACTCCGAATCGAGTCACGGAGGTCGTCAGTCGTTTCAACTCTTTGTTCTGTTTTTTCAGCGCACTAATTTCTACTCGAGCGTCTTTGTACATACGTTGAAGGAGGGAGAGTTGTGCATGTAACTGATGTACTTCACACGTCCTGTTCTGCAGTCGACGGGACAAGTTAGAGACCGCTGTCACGGTCTCCATACATGACCTCAGTGTATATGAGTTTGCTTCGATGTCAGACTGTGCCGCCATGATTTGTTCAACTGGCATCGCTGGAAAGTTGAAAACAGGAGAAGGAGGAGGAGCTCGTGGTTGAGGTTCAGGAGAGTCAGAATCGGTCATCTCTATCGTGGACTCGTTCAGGTCTGGAAAAAGAGTGAGAGAACCGTGTGAAGAAGCCATGGCAAAGGAGAGTAATGCAAAAGAAAGAGGTTGCAGAGTGGTGGCAGAGAAAGTTTGCAGGCTTTTGCTCTGCCTTTCTCTTTCGCAGGCCTCAACTTAAGAAGAGGATGAAGCCAAAGAAGAAGACAAAAAAGGAGGAAGGCTCGAGACGATCATTGACAATCGGGGCAAGATGGGATAGCCTGTCGATCAAGCGCCGCGATTGTTGAAATCGTGTGCCAGACACAACGCTCGAAGAAGATGACGGAAGAGAGAACGAAACAAAAACAGAGAGAGAGGCGGGAGAATTGTATATTTATACATATATGTATATATATTGTATATCTATGTATTATATATATTTGTTTGAACATTTTGGTCACAAGAGTGGCTTAGGTTTAGTGGTTTGGCTCAGTGGTTGAAGGCTGGAAGGCTAAGCCCAAGGTCAGGGGCTCGAACCCCACAACAAATGTATCTTTTGTTTTGTTTTGGTTTTATGTATATATATGTCTTGTATAGTATATATATATATATTTGTTTGCATATCTTGTCACAAGAGTGGCGTGGTTCAGTGGTCGAGGACTCGAAGACTAGGCCTGAGGTCAGGGGTTCGAAACCCTGTACCCCTGTGTCCATGCATTTTGCATTTTTTTTTTTTGCGTGTTTTGAGTACGTGTGCGGACGTCAGCAAACGGAATATGCCTTCTCAGTAACGATATCTTCCCGCTGATGCCTGTAAACAGAATATTCCCCATCTGTGTATATGTCTGTATTTTGTCTGTAAATATCTGTGTGCATTTATATGTAAATATCTGTGTATTATTCTACCTGTGTTTGCAATGAGTTCCTATGAGACCAACTGCAACAGTGGAAACTAGAGTTCGAATGGCAATGCCTAGAACGCAAAAGGTTTGGAATTTCCGAGACTAAAGTCTGGTTTAAATACCTAGGGGTGTATCATCGGCTTGAAATCTGTATGGCAGCCCCATAGGTTGAGGTAGCATGTATGCGCCTCAATTCTGGATACTGAACCAACCTAGTCTGTCACCCCGTTGGAGAATAGGGAAAGTTGTGAATATGATCAGGAAGAAAAGCAGTATCGGTGGCTTCTACATGTAGAGGTTACCCCCTGTCATTCTACCATACCTTCTTCCACTTGTGTGAGACGCGTTTGGATTTCGAATCCACCTTTACTCCTTTCACGTGAAACGTGTTAGGATGTGACGTTTACTTGGTTAAAACCTTCCCCCTCTCCGTATAAAATACGGTTAGGTATGCTTGTTGGTTACACCATTGTCATTTTCTACTTGGTTAAAGCCTTCTCCCTCTCCGTATAAAATACGGTTAGGTACGCCTGTTGGTTACACCATTGTCATTCTCGTTGGTTAAAACCTTCTCTCTCTTCGTATAAAATACGTTGAGATACACTTGTTAGTTATACCATTGTCATTTTCTCTAGTTAAAACCTTCCCTCTCTCCGTATAAAATACGTTGAGATACGCCTGTTGGTTACACCATTGTCATTTTCTACTTGGTTAAAACCTTCCCCCTCTCCGTATAAAATATGGTTAGCTACGCCTGTTAGTTACACCATTGTCATTCTCGTTGGTTAAAACCTTCCCTCTCTTCGTATAAAATATGTTGAGATACGCCTGTTGGTTACACCATTATCATTTTCTTTGGTTAAAACCTTCCCTCTCTCCGTATAAAATATGTTGAGATACGCTTGTTGGTTACACCATTGTCATTTTCTACTTGGTTAAAACCTTCCCTCTCTCCGTATAAATACGGTTAGGTACGCCTAT